CTCCCCTTACCCCCAGCCCACCCCCCATTCCCACCTCCTCTAGGGCGAAGCCTCCCCCGAGGACTGCGATCAACCTGGTAGACCAAGACAGGGTTTCTCGGTGTAGCTTTGCACCTTTCCTGGAACTCGCTTTGGAGACCAGCCTGGCCTCGAACTCACAGAGATCCGCCTGCCTCTGCTTCCCAAGTGCTGGGATTAAAGGCGTGCGCTGCCGCCGCCGCCGCCGCCGCCGCCCGGCTTTTATTTATTTATTTATTTTATGTGCATTAGTGTTTTCCCTGCATGTATGTCTATGTGAGGGTGTCTTTTTCCCTGGAACTGGAGTTACACATAGTTGTGAACTGCCATGTGGGTGCTGGGAATTGAACCAGGGTCCTCTAGAAGATCAGCCACTGCTCTTAACCTCTGAGCCATCTCTTCTTATATAACCCAGGACCACCTGCCCAGGGTTAGCACCATGCCCAGTGCCCTGGGCCCTGTACCATCAATTAGCAATCAAGAAAATACCCCCCAAATGTGCTATAGGCATTTTCTCAATTGAGGTTCCTCTTCCCAGATAACTCTAGCTTGTATCAAGCTGACAAAAACCCAATCAGGACAATAGAGTTTTTTGACACATAATTATAAATATTTATGGGATACAGTGGCATTTCAATACATGTATGTAATGTATAATTGGCATGTCGTACACCTCAAGTGTTTATCATTTCTTTGTGTTGGAAACTGAGATCTTCTCTATTGAAACATGTCATCAATAGTCAGCCATGTCTATTCCTTCTCATGATTACTGTTAAAGTGTTTGAATGTGAAGCACCTTAATATGTCAAGTTCTCAGTTCTTAATATGCTGATGTAAGTTGTGCTTATGACAATGAGTGGCCAAGACCCTCAAAAGTAGTTTACTACCCTGGGAGTAATAAGAATAGGCATATAAAAATCATTACAGGCCAGGCGGTGGTGGTGCACGCTTTAATCCCAGCACTTGGGAGGCAGAGGCAGGCGGATCTCTGTGAGTTCGAGGCCAACCTGGTCTAAAAAGTGAGTTCTAGGAAAGGTGCAAAGCTACACAGAGAAACCCTGTCTCGAAACACTGCCCCCCCCAAAAAAAAAATCATTAAAGATTATTAGAGCATACAGATTAGATATGAATATGCCAGGAAGAGTTGGTGGGCAAGGTGCTTTGAGAAAATAGTAAGTTTTAAGCTGTATTTGACATAATAAAGGAAGACCCAAAGATACTAGGTTTTGTACCAGCGTCACGGTTGCTTACTTTATTTCCTCTCAGGCAAATGAAGATGTGACACAGATTGTGGAGATACTCCATTCCGGGCCTAGTAAATGGAGCTGGCTTACCCGGCGTCTGGTGGAGTTTACTTCTTCAGGGAGTGTCCTCCTGTTTGTTACTAAAAAAGCCAACGCTGAAGAACTAGCCAATAACCTTAAGCAGGAGGGTCATAACCTTGGTCTGCTTCACGGTGACATGGATCAGAGTGAAAGAAACAAGGTCATTTCAGATTTTAAGAAAAAGGACATCCCTGTCCTGGTGGCCACTGATGTTGCAGGTAAGAGTGTGAATTTCACTGTAACCTTAGTCTTTATCATGTAGGTATTTCCCTACCCTGTTATGAGACCGATAGCATCTGGTCAGTCTGATGGAACACTCCCACTCTATCCTTATGTAGAGCAGTAACTCTTTGACCACTTTGATTAGTGTTCTCTATCATCAAAGTAACCTTGCAGCTAGAGACTGTCTGGGAGAGAACATTTATGCCCTTATGTCTACTGCAGTGCATATCTTTCGTTAATTTTAAGTTTCGGCTTTACTCTGCTGAGTTTAGCAGAGTATTTTAGCTGGGCAGTGGTGGCACTCGGGAGGCAGAGGCAGGAGGATTTCTGAGTTCCAGCCCAGCCTGGGCTACACACAGAGACCCTGTCTCAAAAAACCAAGGGGAAAAAAAACAAAGACAAAAACCTAGTACTTTGGACCTAAAAGGTGGTTCATTGGGTACTTGCCAACCAATCCTGACAACCTGAGCTTGGTATATAGGACTCAAATACAGTGTCAGGAGAGAACTGACTCCCACAAGTGTCCTTTGCCCTCTCTATATATGCTGTGGTATGTACATGGATAAATACACACACATACACAGATCCTGGGTACTGAACTCTGGGCCTCATGCAAACGCTACTACTGAAACCCTAGAGGGCTAATTTGTGTGAATTTTTTGTTTTGCTTTTTGAGATAAGTTCTTATGTATAGCCCAGACTATCTTTTGTTTTTGTTTTGTTTTGTTTTTCGAGACAGGGTTTCTCTGTGTAGTTTTGCGCCTTTCCTGGGACTCACTTGGTAGCCCAGGCTGGCCTCAAACTCACAGAGATCCACCTGGCTCTACCTCCTGAGTGCTGGGATTAAAGGCGTGCGCCACCACCGCCCGGCTAGCCCAGACTATCTTGAGCTCTAATCCTCCTGCCTTCTTCCAAGTACTGGGATTACAGGTATGATTCCAGTAAAATTATCCACAGAATTTATATATTCATATTACTCCCAATACAATGAATTACTTTTTATTCTTGGCTTTATAGCCATGAGCTTGCCTGGATAAGGGAAATGCACATTCTGGTTTTTTTTTTGTTTGTTTGTTTTTTTGTTTTTCGGGACAGGGTTTCTCTGTGTAGCTTCAGAGCCTTGAACTCACTCTGTAGCCCAGGCTGGCCTCGAACTCACAGAGATCCACCTGTCTCTGCCTCCCAAGTGCTGGGATTAAAGGCGTGTGCCACCACTGCCCACCTGGGAAATGTAAGTTCTTAGAACTAGCATTTCTGGTTACTTTGATTTTCTTTTAACTGCAGATGAAAAGTAAAAGAATCTGAATACTTTGTATTTCAGCCCGTGGTCTGGACATTCCTTCAATTAAGACAGTCATCAACTATGATGTAGCACGTGACATTGATACCCACACTCACAGGATTGGGCGAACAGGAAGAGCTGGTGAGAAGGGCGTGGCCTATACCTTACTGACCCCAAAGGACAGCAATTTTGCTGGGGACCTTGTCCGGAACCTGGAAGGAGCCAACCAACATGTTTCTAAGGAACTCTTAGACCTGGCAATGCAGGTGAGGGGTGGGCCCTTGAAATTGATAGAGATTATACAACTGAGTAAGAAAGTTCAGCAGGCGGGGGAGGGAGATAATGTAAGAGAACTTGAAAAGAAAATGGGCAGGAAGGGCGTGGTTAATGTAGATCTGGTACCTGGGGATGGTAGAATTCATATATATGTTCTTTTCTACAGTTTCTGTTGAAAAGCTGCTCCTTTCTTTGGGCTGAAATCTGTCTCTTTAGTTTCTTTCTGCTTAACCCCATAGAACACTTTTATGAGTAAGTTTAACCTTAGAAGATGCCCACTATTCTCTCTTGTTCCTTCCCCCTAAGTCTTCTCTTTTTGAGGGCTAAAAATATATGGTTGGTTTTTTGTTTGTTTGTTTGTTTAATAAGGAGCCAGTTTTGTGGTGCTTATTTTGTTATTTTTGTTTGGTTGGTTTTGCTACTAGGGAATTGAATCCAATGTTGTCTTTTTTTTTTTTACATGTTATGTGAGTAGTCTACTACTGAATTACATCCCTTGCCTCTGTTTTAATGGGCCTTAAGTATTTTTTACACACTGATATTTCATATCTGACCATACTGATTGTTCTCTTCCAGATATGCTCTATTCCAAAACTAAGTATGGCCAAATTACACCTTGAATCACTTATTCCATGCAGTTCTCAAATTACAAGTGTGTTCAGGACAGTTGACTTTTCTTTTTATTGCAGTGCTAGAGATTAAATTCGAGATCTTGTGTGTGCTAGGCTAACATTCTAGTGCCTCTTCCTTAAGACAAGTTCAGATAGTAGGAAATGTTTGTTTGACTTGGCTGTTTGAGCCTGGTATGGAGCCCAGCTGGGTTGTTGGGAATGCCCTTGTTTGTAAACAAAATGCCCTTGAGTGTAAAGGACTGCAGTGCAGAAAAGAGGAGGAGAATGATGCTTTTTTCTCCCCTTGCTCAATGGAGAGCAAAGCTAAACTAAAATTCTGAAAAGGATACATTTGCATGGCATTTTTTTTCTTTCTTTTTTTTTCCTCCTGGTTTTTTGAGACAAGCCTTCTCTGTGTAACAGCCCTTTCTGTCCTAGAACTCACTTTGTAGACCAGGTTGGCCTCGAACTCACAGAGATCCACTTGCTAGGATTAAAGGCATGCACCACCACACCCATCTTGCATGGCATTTTCTTACACCCTTTTTGTGTCTTAGGCTTTCTGTGCTCGGTACCTTTTCCAAGCCTATCATACTTCTCAATATTTAGACAAGTAGTGTATAATTCTCAGGTGAAACTATAACACTGATGTTTGTGTTCTGCTTATTTCTTTGTTGTATTGAGGCAGTCTCACCATGTGACCCTGGTTTTCCTTACTACATAGCCAGGCCGGCTTCAAACTGACAGACATCTACCTGTCTCTGCCTTCCAAGTGCCTGGCTAATGTCAGTTCTTTGTTGTTGCTTTTTGTTTGTTTTGGTTTTGAGATAGATTCTCTGTGTAACAGCTCTGGCTGTTCCAGAACTTGCTTTGTAGATCAGGCTAGCCTCACACAGAGATCCACCTGCCTCTGCCTCCTGAGTGCTGGGATTAAAGGTATACACCACCACCTGTCCTAAAGTCAGTTCTTTTCTTAAATTTATTTATTTTTCTCTTTATGTGCATTGTTATTTTGCCTGTATGTATGTCTGTGTGAGTGTGTCAGATCTTGGAGTAACAGACAGTTGTGAGCTCCATGTAGGCACTGGGACTTGAACTTGGGTCCTCTGGAAGAACAGTCAGTGCTCTCAACCTCTGAGCCATCTCTCCAGCCCCTAAATTTAGTCAGTTCTTAATAAGCCTTATTTCACCTAGCCTTTTTTTCTTCATTTCTGAATGTATTTCTTCTCTACAAGCTTTGCTCCCGTGTGAGCTTTTATGGGCAATGGTATTTATAGATGGGTTAAGAAATAAAATATAGGGCTGGAGAGATGGCCCTCATGGTTAAGAATACTTAATGCAGCCGATTGGTGGCGCACACCTTTAAGCCCCACACTTGGGAGACAGAGGCAGATGGATCTCTGTAGAGGCCAGCCTGGTTTACAGAGCGAGATCCAGGACAGGCACCAAAACTACACAGAGAAACCCTGTCTCGAGGGAAAGATAAAAAGAATACTTACTGCTCTTTCAAAAGACCCTGGTTCAGTCCCCAGCGTCCACATCAGGTGACTCACAACCACCTGTAACTCCCATCTCAGGGGATTCAATGCTCCCTGGCCTCTGTAGACACCTCCATGTACTTGGTAAATATAAACTCACTCTCTCTCTCTCTCTCTCTCTCTCTCTCTCTCTCTCTCTCTCTCTCTCTCTCTCACACACACACACACACACAACAGTGAATTTGGCTTTTTGACTTTTATTTTTCAAAACATAGTTTTCTTTGCATCCCTGGCTGTCCTGTAACTCACTCTGTAAACCAGGCTGGCCTTGAACTCAGGGATCTGCCTGCCTCTGCCTTCCAAGTGCTGGGATTAAAAGCATGCACCACCTCTACCCAGTTTTGTTTTGTTTTGTTTTTTAAGATATAAAATATAAATTCATCTTCCTCTCTAAAGTTAGACATAGGCAGAGTAACCATGTTACATTTTGTGTTTGGTTACTCACTCTCCTTCCTGGAGGCTCTGATGGAAGAAGCAGTAAGGGAAACTTGAGCTAAGTGTCTAAGCAACCCGATAAATTTGGTGTGCCAAGCTACCAAAAAGAAGGCAGGGTGGAGTTGGGGGTGTGGTTTGTTGGCACGGTGCTTGCCTGGAGTGCTTGAACCCTCTGTTCAACTGTCCATGGTAGCAAATGCATGCGATCTCAGTGCTTAGGAAGTGGCTGCAGAAGGTTCAGAAGTTCAAGATTATCTGTCGCTTCAAGGCCAAGGCAGAAAAGTTCTTCCTGCCTACTTCTTTTTCTTTTTGACTCATTTTACTTTCTTTCGCTTTTTCTCCTTTATGAGCTTAACCTTGAATTGTCTTCATTGCAGAATGCCTGGTTTCGGAAATCCCGCTTCAAAGGAGGGAAAGGCAAAAAGCTGAACATTGGTGGAGGAGGCTTGGGCTATAGAGAGCGGCCTGGGCTAGGCTCAGAGAATTCGGTAAGTTCATACTACAGCAACACTCTGCGATAGGTCCTGTGTCTTGAACTTTGGTGGTATTTTGATGAACCCAAACAGCTCTTGAGGCCAAAACCCCTGCCCCAGGGCATGTATGTCTGCTGGTCTGAATCAGTGCAGGGCTGTTTCTTATAAGGAAACTTGCTGTGGAAGAAGCATGTATGTGTACCTGGCTTACTAGGCTTGCTTAGGATTAGTCTGGCTTTAGTACATCTCAGATTGCTATCCCTTGACCACCAGGACATGCAAACTCATCACCCACTTCAGACTTACTAATTAAATAAAAACTCTGGATATGTGTGGAATGCAGTTGTCTGTTTTTTAAAGCCTTTCTATACTGGCCTAGAGTCTATTGCTTGAAATTGTTACTAAGATGGTCACAAAGCTAAATGGTGTCTACACTGAAAACTTTGATCATTTGAGAAGACCTGGATGGTCTCACAAGTTAGGTAAATAAAGCACTCGACTCACTGGCTTGCCTGTTCATCATTACAGTGATTCTTAAAGCCAGGGAAGCCAGGGAACAGAGCTGTGTAACTCTTGGAGCGTTAGTGTTAACTTGGCATCGTTGGTAGGTAAACAGTGTTCCTCATAGTACAGTAATGTTGGTTGTAGAAGTAATAGTGATGACTGATAATTACTGAGCACTTTATATGTGCCAGGGCCACTCCAAATATTATTTCAGTCTTTAACCAGTGTAAGTGATTGCAGATATGAAACTTAAAAGTTACACACCAGCAAATGTTGAAATAGATTCAGATCTTTTATCAGTGTCACTAAGATCCTGTGAAGCTACATTGTGCTACATTATTGTCATTTTCATCTTTAGCATTTATACTTAATAGAATGTTGATATAATGTACAATCATACTGTGAGTATAAATTGATAGCATTCTGATCTTTGAGGTTAATTCCCAGAAATAAATTTACTGGGTTGAGGGACACAGCATTTTTAAATACCTCTTCATTATAGTACCTTTTCTCAAACAGGAAATAACTTCTAAAAAATACGCAGCACCTACTGCAGCCCTGGATCTGGATTTTCAGTGTGATAAGGCTGTCTGTGACAGTTGCTTTTTTATCTACTTCCCATTCTCATGAGTATGTTTGGTTCTTTTTTTTTTTTTAGGACCGAGGAAATAATAACAATGTAATGAGCAATTATGAAGCCTACAAGCCCTCCACAGGAGCCATGGGAGATAGACTGACAGCAATGAAAGCAGCTTTTCAGGTCTGAAATAAATATTCCATTTTAAAAAAGCTTTCAACAGGGGGCTGGAGAGATGGTTCGGTGGTTACGAGCACTTGTATTCTTACAGAGGATCCAGGTTTGGTTTGTCAGCACCCACATGGCAACTTAACCATCTTTGATTACAGTTCCAGGGCATCTGACACCCTTTTCTGGTCTGCACAGGCACCAGGCATGCATGTCGCACACATAAATATGTGCACACAGGCCAGGTGCTGGTATTTCATGCACTCAAGGCAGAGGCAGGTGGCTTTCTGAGTTCGAGGCCATCTTGGTCCTCAGAGCAAGTTCCAGGACAGCTTGGACTACACTGAGAAACCTTGTCTGAGAAAAAAAAAAGAAAGAAAGAAAGAAAGAAAGAAAGAAAGAAAGAAAGAAAGAAAGAAAGAAAGAAAGAAAGAAAGAAAGAAAGAAAGAAAAGAAAAGAAAAGAAAGTATACACAGGCAAAATACTTAAAATGCATAAAATCTTTTTTTTTTTTTTTTTAATGAAAGCTTTCAACAGTAACTCCTGGCAGAGTGGGAGACCTCCCTGAGATAGTAGTTGAGTCTGTAAGCTTCATTCTAGATTTAGAGCCTTCTGTTTACTCGAAATTCACATAGAGATTTAACAGTATCCTGCCTGGATGTGCAAGTGGGGTTTTTGTGTACTTTACCATTGTCAAACTTGGTTGTATACTCAAGTTTGTTGTTATACTTATTCCTGATATCTTTTTCTCTTTCAGTCCCAGTACAAGAGTCACTTTGTTGCAGCCAGTTTAAGTAATCAGAAGGCTGGAAGCTCTTCTGCTGGGGCAAGTGGATGGACTAGTGCAGGAAGCTTAAATTCTGTTCCAACTAATTCAACACAGCAGGGCCATAATAGTCCAGACAGCCCCATCACCAGTGCTGCCAAGAACATCCCAGGCTTCAACAGTTCTGGGAATATAAGCAGTGCCCCAGTGACCTACCCTTCTGTCGGAACCCAAGGAGTCAACAACACAGCTTCAGGGAGTAACAGCCGTGAAGGGATTGGGGGTGGCAATGGGAAGAGAGAGAGATATACTGAGAACAGGGGTGGTGGCCGTCATAGTCATGGAGATGGTGGCAATCGGCATGGAGATGGTGGTCGCCATGGAGATGGATACCGTTACCCAGAAAGCAGCAGCCGTCATACTGATGGCCATCGACACGGAGAGAACAGGCACGGAGGAAGTGCCGGCAGACATGGAGAGAGCCGGGGTACAAGTGATGGTAGGAATGGAGAAAGCAGGAAAGAAGGCTTTAATCGTGAAAACAGGATGGACCCTCCCAAGGTGGACAGCAGCAAGATAGACAAAGTGGACAGCAAGTCAGATAAGACACCTGATGGTTTTGCTGTTCCAGAGCCACCCAAACGCAAGAAAAGTCGATGGGACAGTTAGAGGGTATGTGAAAATCAGCGTGAATCAGTTGTCTTTAATTTTATTTTTAGAAAGATTTTGGTATCTAGGTGTCTCAGGGCTGGGTTGGGGTCCAAGATGTAAGGGCCCCCTGCCCTTGGTGGAGAGCTGGAGCATGGAGACATTATACCTTCATCTGGTGTTCATTCAGATGTTTTCTTGGGCACCTGCATTGGTCCTGGAAAGCAGAGAGCTGGGAAGCTTTTGTTCCTCTGGGTGAGTTATAAGGAGGGTAAGTGGAAGATACTTAGGGAGAAAGGGCCTTATAGGGCACAAAACTCACTCTAGGTTTATAATAGCTTATATTTTTTACTAAAATGTCACCTTATAAACATCTATAAATTGGATTTTTTTGTTAGCTGTGGCCAGGCAGTCCCATTTTTGGAGTTGGCTTCTGTAAACCCAACCTTCAATCTGTTAGGGATGCTTGGGAAACAGTTTGGTGCTTTCAGGTGTTTGCAGGGGAGGTACCTGATACTCAGGTTCCTCGGACAGCTTTATTTCCATCCCTGAGACATGTAGGAAGGGCAGCCTTCCAGACTCGGGCTTTGAGATCCTAAGCCACTGGGACTGAAGAATTACGGCATCACCCAGGCCTGGGGCACTGCTAAATTTACCATTGAAAAACCAACCCCAACAGTAGCTTTGAAAGTGTCTTATTGTAATTTTTTTTAACTTGCCCCAATAGTAGGAAAGTCTTTTGCTGAAATGATTCTGATGATTTTTGTTCTATCTTGTTTATAAAATGAAAATATACAAACTTTGAATTTTGTGATTTTTTTTTTGTTTTGTTTTTTTGTTTTATTTTTTTGTGAAGGTTTCTTTAAGATGTGCATTCCTCTCTGCTTGCTCGCTAGTAAATGTTTTACTACTGGGACCTGAGGGCTGTCGTTTCTACCGTACAGTAGTTGCTACATATTAAATTATGGCTTGGAACAGTGCAGCCTATGATGTGAAATGTGGGGAAGTGCTTGCTTATTAAACTATCAGAAAAGTTATTTGTTCTGTTATCTTCATTTTATTCAAATAATGGGAAAGGGTGGGAGAGGACTCAAAAGAACCACATGGCTTAATAGGCTACAACAATGCCATCACACTGAATTTCCCCTTAAGGCTTAAAAAAGATGTTTCTGGGCGGTGGTGGCACACGCCTTTAATCCCAGCACTTGGGAGGCAGAGGCAGGCGGATCTCTGTGAGTTCAAGGCCAGCCTGGTCTACAGAGCGAGTTCCAGGAAAGGCACAAAACTACACAGAGAATCCTGTCTCGAAAAAAAAAAAAAAGATGCTTCCATCCCAAGTCCTTCGTGAAAGATTGGGGGGTAGGTGTCAGTCTGTCATCAAAAATCGTCCCTTGGTGCTTTCATGTATGACCATTCTTCAAGAGGCAAGAAGGACTTCTATTGTAGAATTGTAGGCACACCATAGCTCCCCTAATCATATGGGCAACAGCAGCTGCCAAAACCACCAGCGTGAACTTTGTCTCTCTGGATGCCTCTGTTCACTTCCGCTTGTGTTTTTTCTTCTGTTCCTTCCGTTGCTGTGCTCTCTGGTCCTTCTTCATTCTAGAGTCCACTACCTTGAAATGACCTCTGACTCCAGCTGGCCGCCTGACCTTACGGCCTACACCTTTTTTAGCTACAACATAGGTGACCTGGCGTTTCTCCTTGCCAAGTCCAGCCTTCTTGTAGAGACTGTAAAAGAAAGAAGCAAGTTACGGTCCGCTCTCTGGAACTCTACTTAACCCAGTGTCTGTGGCTGCTGTTCGCCAAATTACCTCCGCAGTTGTGCCACCTTTTCTCGTTCTGAGATATCCACAGTGTTCACCACAGCTTCTGCCTTCTTCTTGGTCTGCTCCAGCTTCTTCAGCATCTGGAGGGGAGCCTCAGTTAGATGACTTCTTTCTCTAACTTTCCCCAGCAACTCCTAACCTCAGGCAATCTCAGCTACTTACCCTCCGTTTCTTTCTGGCCTTAGCCTCAGCTACTTTCTTGATGGGCCGTGCATTGATTTCCCGCCAGCGTTTTCGGTAATGCTCCACATCCTTCTTGTCAACAGGCAGCTGCCGTATCCGGTGCTGCTTCTCTTCCTGCACAAACCACTCTGGAAGCTTTCCCTCATCTTCATTAAATGCATACCTGAGTAGAGAGGATACCAAGCTAGCGATCACCTGTTACTTCTCTAAGGAAGGAAACCTTCCCTTCACCCACAGAACTTCATGATGCTGGGGCTCTTACCGGTTGAATGAGTTATCTATAAGGTCTCTCTTTGCCTTTTTGGAAGAGGCAATAACAGCACCTAGAGCAAGGCCTTCAGGGTCCAGAATTCGGTGTTTCACTGGAGAGGGAAAGGCAAAGTCAAAGCCTGATTCTCATCACTGAAACTTGCTCTGGTTTCTCTCCACTGTGTACATACATACATACTACTTACCTGGGTCCTCAATAGGCACAACCTCAAACCCATCATCATCTGCCTTAGAACCACGGCTTCGCTTGACACCACGGGATGCTTTCCAGCTGTGGAAGCAGGCAGAATTGTGATTGATGATTCTACCGCCTCCATGGGGATAATCCACTTTGCCACAACTTTATTTCCCATTTAAAGCCACCTAGTGAAACTTCACAGAAACCCATCGGCTAGATCCACTCACCTTTCTTCATCCTCGCTACTGCTGCTATCACTATCTGAGCTGTTGACTTTGTCCTCCCCTCCAGCGTCAGTGACAGCTTCTGTCCCCAAAACAGCCTCTGTCTCTTTAGGAATCTCATTCTGGCACTGGGGAGGTTTCTTCTTAGTCTTCAGACTAGAAGGTGGTGGAGGTGGCTCCTTCCTACGGCTCTGGTGGAGCAGCTGTGCCTGACTGATCTCCAGGGCCTCATCCGCGTCGTCCTCAATTCCACTGAAGCCATCCTGTGATAGGAAAACCTCAGCAACCCTTCTCCTAGAGAATTCCAGTGTCCTGTCAGGCTCCCTGGCTCTACCTTGGAGAACCACAGGTTAGCTTGCTCTTCCTGCAGCACCGCCTTTTCTTCCAGTGGTACCAGCAACGGGTTCTCTCCTTCCTCCTCTTTATTGTCATCTACTTGAGCAAACCGCAAACTGTAGACCCAAAGGAAAGTGAGGTGAAACACACTACCACCACCTCCCCTACCCCACCCCCAGCACCTAGAGGCTTTGCTGTCCAGGCCCACACCAATTCTATCTTGAGAATAAAGCTTAGGGTGGCAGCACTTCCTTTCACACACACAGCCATTACCACTTCTGGTCCTTCAGACCAGAATGTGTCCTGACTCCTGCCAGCTCTTCTGGATCCAGGTCACTCTCCAGAGAAGTATCATCATCATCCTCAGCATCTGACACATAGATGTCGTCCCTTGGCAGATCAGACAGAAATGTGTCTGCAGCATTCATGTCTCCTTGTGTTACTTCCTCTAGCAACTAAAGTCAACAGGGATAGATTGAAGTACTTAAAGGCAACACAGTGCATTTTCCCATGCCCATTAACTTAGTTCATCCTCTAACATTTGTTAGAACACTGACAAATGTTAGCGCCTACACAGCAGCTGTGACCTAGAAAAGGAACCAGCGTGTCTAAAACGTCCAGTTCTAGGTTCAGGCCTACATGCTGACTAGTTTAAAAATAACTCAGAAGCCACTTGAAATACCTGAATTCACATCTCTACATTTTGATCCCAAGTAAAGAAGTACCAGACAGCATGCATCAAACCAAACTGATAGCTTTCAAGTACTCTCAGAACCAAGAACCTATTCTCAAGGTGGACAGAGCTGTATTTATCACAACATCCTGGGGTTATACTTAACCATTTTCTTAATTCTCCATAAAACTTGCAGTGGATATGGTATATTCTTGTTTAACAAATGAATGAAACAAACTGAGGAATGGTACATGGTTGTAAGTTACATACCTAAAGTGGAGTTGGAACTAAAAGCTGTACCTGCTCTATTGCCTCTCCTGTGTCATAAAGGTGACTAGGCTATCTTACCACAGAAGCTCATTCTGCATGTGACATTGCTTTCACTATGGAAGGCATGTTCTTCCATATTTGACAGAAGCATCACCTAGCAGCCCAATGCTAGTTGCTCATTGGCCACAATGAGGTGAAGATGACTGCCCCACGGAGGAATCCAGTCTGGGTTGGTAACCCAGGCACTACAGCTTCATCTACTGTGAACTCTTGGTCTTAATACTCTAGTTTTACAAATCTTCCTCATCTCATATTAGGCATGTTTCTTTTCAGCGTGTGAGTCAGTATTCTCACTTTTCTTCTCTACAATTCCCCTTACTAACTTGATTGGTGAATACAACCAAACCCCAAGATCATTCAGTATATTTAATCCAATGTCCCTCCACCTCCAGGCCTTCAAACTGATCATCCTGACTCCCCTGTCTCCAGCCCACCCTTACCTGCTGACCCCGGATGGTACGCAGGGAGAACATGCCTGTCTCCCCCTCATCTGCAATGGAAACCCCAGGCAAATCCATCTTCAGTTCTACACGTTCCCGCTGCTTCCTCTGTTCACGAAGCAATTTCTTTTTCTTCCTGAACAGATAATTTGAGGGATTTAACTTGCCTGGCTCCAAAACTTCTGTGCCTTTTATCATCTCCATATACTCTTCCTCACGCCCCTCACCTCTTTAGTTCGGCCACCTCTTCGGCTTTCATCTCTGCCAGGGTCCGGTTAAGCTGCTCCTCCTCCTCCTCCTCTGAAGCCTGCTTTGTCTCAGCAATTGACTCATCCTCATCACCTTCTTCTTCTGAGCTGAGGCTGGCACACCAATCCAAAGAGTCTGCTTATTGTCCCAGACACTCGGTCCAACATCCAACCACTGCTAACCCTGGTCACTTCCTCACCTGATGTCCAGTGCCTTTGCTTGCTCTTTCAGCTTCTTGGCCACATATCGCCGAAGTCTTGTTCTCCAATTCAGGAGAGACCTGCCCAAGAAATACTATTACTAATCTTAACCATCCCCAACCCTGCCTCTTTAAGTCCACACTCCAAATTTCAGGCTTCGGCCACAAACAAACGGAATCCTGGTTCCCAGAGTCCAACGTCATGTTCTTCAAAGGCCTGCACTCTGGCCCTTACACCAATGTACCTAAGTTCCTTGCGGCCCAGCACTTTGATGTCCTGACAGCATGCTTTTATATCCTCAGTTGTAGCTGGATGCTGTGCCAACTCTTCATCATCTATTGTGATCTATTTGTGAGGAAAAGGAATGAAATTTCTTTCTGGCCATGTTTCTGGGGCTCCCTTATACCTTCAATCTGGGAACTCACTTCGCTGGCCTTGGAGAGGAAGTCAACAGGATTGGCAGCTCGCAAGAAGTCAGTGACTGAGGTTCGGTGATAGAGAGTGAGATCACCCTCGGCATAGCCTTCAGCCTTAGGAAGGGGAATAACGATGGTTAGACAGTCCCTTCTTGGATATCAAATCTTGTCAGTTTCACAACCCATTTCTCAAAAAAAAAAAAAAAAAAAAAAAACAAAAACCACCTTTGGCTTCTTTTTTGTCACCAGCTCAGTAACAGTTTTAGCCTGAACTTCAACCTCCTTAAAGGCAAACTTAGGATCGAAGAATTTACTGTCAACCTTGTCAGGAGCCAGGAATCCTAAAATGGGAAGACAGACAGATCAAGGTATGCTTTCATAATTAGAAGGCTGTGTCAAGAGGAAGAAGTAATGACATCCCACCTTGGCAGACTACAAAGATTTCTGCAGATTCGTGGCGAGAGGCCTGGGGCTTCGTGGCCTGGACACGGTGGAACAGCTGCTGGAAGATCCACAGCAGGGGCTGATAGTCACGGGAACGGAAGACTTTTGTGATGAAGCAACCACCACGGGCCAAAAAATCGCAAGCCAGACGCAGTGCCATCAGTGTCAAGTTAGCTGTAGGGCAGAGACAGACAGTAAGAATCTGTGGCTTCAGAGCATGCCAGCTCCACCCTCCCCTCCAAGGTCCACATTCCCAGTACCTTGT